CACATCACAAACATATCAAGTAGACACAACCATCTAGAGACATTATATTGGAGAGAAGACAGACATCTCTTTGGCAAACACACAAGAAAACCATCTACCGTAATTTTCGGACTATAAACCGCGCCTTTTTTCCGATATTTCGACACTGCGGCTTATATAACGGTGCGGCTAATCTATGGATTTTTACAGCTGGTTCCAGCAGGAAAAGCTGGAGGCCGGAAAAGAGTGAGACGGGTAGCGCGCAAAAGTAAAAGTGGAACCGAGAGTGGTACGAGAGACAGAACGAGAGCAAGACAGACAGACATTACGAGAGCGAGACAGTTTGTCCCCGTACCACTGGTTGAAAACCACTGCTGTAGATCACTGCCGGTACGTGCGCTGGGAGCGCACCGTTTAAGTTTGAAAGTTGAAAAGTTTGTGTGTCTGAAACGCTATGTGATACAGTACAGTTTACACAGCACAGTACATGTTCTTTAGCTACTATTGCACTAAATGGTAACACTTGAATACGTTATGCAAATATGCAACTTGTTTGTTGAAATGTTAATAAACGGGAGCTTCCTCAAACAGCCATCTCTTTCCTGACAATCCCCTCTGTGCACGAACCCTTACATATGGTAATTAAACATTAAAACACCTGCGGCTTATAGTCCAGTGCGGCTTATATATGTACACATCATTCAATTTAGCTGCTGCGGCTTATATTCAGGTGCGCCTTATAGTCCGAAAATTACGGTACTAATAGATTTTTAAGGAAAAACAAAGTATATATATGTTAATAATTTAGTTTTTGGGAGAATTAAATAAGTGTAAACTTCTACCCACTCCTTTTCGAATGTGTAATCAGGTAAATCATTAATTGTTTATATATAATTTTTAAGTCAGTAATACTTGTGTTTATCAATTTGACACTGATTAACTTTGTATAGTATAATAATTCTCATGTTTCATTTCATAATTATTATAATTTTTTTGTGTTATTGTTTTACACATTCAAAATAAATCAAATCAAAAATAGACAAAATAATTTCACTTCTTCAGACACTTAAGGGAAGAAAAAGCTCTGAAAAAAAAAAAAAAACTGAGTAACAAACACATAAACTTACCTGTAATATAACTTACCTCCAACACAATAGCTAAGTTCATTAATAAATATAGCACTTTATGATTTATTTCTATTATTAAAACACACAGTTCGGCCAAAAAGTACAATGCAAACAACTACGTCGTGTCATTGCCTTGGTTAGGCTGCAATTGCACTTGTTATTAAACAATTTCAGCTCATTATAAAAAGGGGATTTAAATAGTTTACATATTCTAGATCAAATCTGCAATATTTTATCCAAAGATATCAAAAACTCAAGTGCAATTCCAGACTGAATTAGCGTTTTCTCAACCGCCTAAAGTTGTCCAAGCAGACTATCACTACGGTGGACCTTCTTAAAAGAGGACAGTTTTCAACACACCCATGCATCTAAAGTACATTTAAACCATTACATGTTTATAACCTCGCACTAATTGAGCACGATGAATGGATGCGTTGAAATTAAAAGTCCTTTGTTAAGAGGAAACGCCTCTAAGGTGCTTGTCACACACACTAATGCAATAAACACATCTTAGTGCAGATTACACTTCAGGAGGAACTAGGAGGGTTAGTACCGGCTGCAAAAAGAACAACAAACATCAGTGGAAGTCACATTTCATAATAAACGTTATGTTTCTGGATCTGTAGCAGCGGAAATGTCCATCTTATACTGATGTTCTGATCTTTAATTGAGTTGTAAAATATATGTTTCAACTGTCCTACGATCAGTTGTCCTTTCAGCATGTACATATAGATTCACAAATTGGATAAAAACATGATCCTCATACTATATTTCTAAGTTGTGTTTGAATGTATTGACGGAGCCGCATTTAAGTTTATTTTGTTTTGATGTATTTGGAAGCTTTATTAATGCATGTTTCTGTTTCAGTAAGAGGTGTGCTCTGCTCAGGAGTAGGGGGCGGGGCTTTAAGTTGGAGTTTAAGTTTAAGTTAACGGCACTCAAAGTCGGAGTTCCTACTTATACAATTAAAATATATCCTGACCATTTAGTTTGGTGAACTTTTAGCTTATTATAAATAGGAAGAAGTAACTGAAGAAATTACATTTAAAGAGCAAGTTGTTAAAAATGACTTCCTTCTAGAAAAAGTAGAATATCGATGCCGAAAATCGGAGTTCCCACTCGTACAAGACTAGCTTTTCACACTACTGACTGGAAAAAGGAATCAGAATATGCAGATGGGCATTTGTCTGCTGTTTGGCAAGTTTGAAATATTTCAACGTTTAGGAGTTTTCTGCTAAACAATATCATATTTAAACAGTTAGTTGTTCAAATTAAACCTCTAGAGGACTTCAAACTTGAACATTTTAGACCTACTTCTAGGGCTGCTCGATTATGGCAAAAATCATAATCTCGATTATTTGGGTCAATAATTGTAATTGCGATTATTAAATGCGATTATTCATTGACTTTGAAAACATCCATTTATTGGAGAAAAAAATGTTGAACAGTATGTTTTTAACAGTTGACCCTGAACTTTAATTCAAGTATAATTCAACTGAAAAAAAAAAAAAAAAAAATCATTTTATTTCGATTACGTTGTTTTCGTAATCGTTGCAAGCCATAATCGTAATCGCGATTAAAATACCATTAATTGAGCAGCCCTACCTACTTCTAGAAAAATACACTGAAAGTTGGAGTTCCTACTTGTAAATCTTTAACTTCTATGTAAAAAACACTTAAATATATCCTTTATTTCTTTGAGAAGACTAGTTTGACACACCGTTGATTGGAAAAGGAATCAGAATATGCAGATGGACATTTGTCTGCTGTACAGATGAGAAATGTTGAGCGCTGTTAGAGCGTTTGGTCTAAAGCACGAAGCAGGAGGATGGAGGGATTTGAAGCAAAAAGGATGGATGTGGAGGAGGAGGAGGAAGAGGAGGGCGTGTCTCACCTTGGCAGCCTATAGCGAATGACCCAACACCAAGAAAAGATGGAGGGATGAGAGGATGATGCAGATAATGGTGGTGGTGTGTAGAAAGGAGGGAAGGAAGGAGGAGGAAACAGAGAAATGCAAAACAGGAGAATTCTTTTGGGTGATGCAGAGTTTCAAATGAACAACAGGAAAAACAAAAACTGTGGTGTCTGATTCGTCAACGCAGGAAAAGTGAAAAAAGGGAGGGGGTGGGGGAGGAGTGACAGCCGAGTTCAAACTAAATCCTCTTTTACTAGAAATCAAGCTCCAAATAACTTTTTTTCACAATAGAAGTCCCACAGAATTCAACTGAAGTGTCGTGGAGGAACAGGCTGAGTTTTCCTCACCTGGAGATCCGCTCAGTCCGACATTACCGGGAAAACCGGGACGACCGGGAATACCAAAGGTCGGCTCGCCTGGAAGTCCGGGAAGACCATTGTTACCGGGGTAACCGTCGACTCCTCGCTCTCCCCTCAGACCGGGAACGCCGAAACGCCCGTCGCCACCTGACAGAGGGAGAGGGGATATAGTTGTATTTAGACTTTTATTTTATTAGTCCATTTATTGAACATGTTAGAACCAAATAATAATAATTATAATAATTATAACAAAGAGAAGCAAAAAAAAAAAAAATGTCAAAGTATAACTAAAAAATTAAAACAAATGCTCAAATAGTTTCTGTCATGTTCAAAAGGGGCAAGAAGAAGCTTAAAGATGTTTCCCTCTGGCGTACATTACTGGTCATTTCCTATTTGAGCATTTTATTGCACATTCTTACTTCTTATGTTTACATAATATTTAATTGTATTCATCTTTTATTTGATATCTGTCTTAAATGGAAGAACTGTCAGGAAACCCGTTTTTCCCCGGGAACAATAAATGATACGATCACCAATTTGACTTCTTATAATACAGTTACTTACCGTATACGGTCAATGTATCAGGTAAACCTAGCTTCAAATACTACACGAATACCTCTTTGTATGAAGGGTAAAATCAGTTTCAGGTTGTTAGAGCCCCTTAAGGTCAAATTTCGAGAAAATATGTTTTAGTTAGAATCACATTTACACGCTTTTTTAAATAGGCTTTAAATTAATACCACCGTTTTGTATAGTTTTGTTTATATTGATTGATAATTATTGGACTATGCCAAGGTTATGTTTCTGTTTGCTTTGCTTCTGTTATATTTTGCTACCAAAACCCTACTTTTAGCAACATTTTTACACTTAACACAACTTCTTACATTGTTTTGTCGAATTGATCAGGTACTAGCTTAAACTGATTTCTGAAAACTCCCTTGATGAAGGTTATAAATATCTGTTTTTGTTCAAAATGATTACAAAAGGTGTTGATACAACCATGTGGTCATTTCAGAGGACGTGTTTTATGGTGTTGAATTGAGAATCCAAGCTCAGGAGTGGACTAAATTAAAGAATCAGTGTCTCAAACCCACCAGGTTGTCCCGGCCCTCCAGGGGTCCCGGGCTGGCCCTTGTCTCCAGGTGTTCCTGGTCCTCCGTTCTGTCCCGAGGTGCCAGGCGTGGCCCCCAGCACCTCTCCAGGCTGGCCCTTTCCTCCGGGACGACCAGGAACACCGTCCTTCCCTCTGCCGCCGTCAAAGCTCTGTCCGGGGCCGCCGGGAATACCAGAATCTCCTCTGGGTCCGGGGAAACCTGCACGGAGGAAAGGGGAGAAAGGGCGGGGAGTCAGAGTTATTATATTAAAAAAAAAACAAGGCAATCTCAATCTTTATTTATTCATATAGCACATTTAAAACAACCTCAGTTGACCAAAGTGCTGCACACGGAATACATACAATATAAAACAACACGATAGGAGTAAAATAATCGGCCTGGATTAGAGCCAATTGAGTGTTGTCTCTGATTGTACTCTGGATAATTAGGGTACGGGTTTACCTTGTGGTCCAGGTTGTCCTCCAAAACCGGGGTTTCCTCTGTCTCCTTTGGACCCGTCAAATCCGGGACGTCCGGATCCTCCTGGGAACCCTGACTGACCTTTAGGGCCTGACGGGTAAATGCACATTGGAACTCATTATGAGTGTCCTTCAGTTCCTTGAAATCTCATTTTTATCAAATGTTTTGGTAGTAATGAGTATTTCTTTCTCATGTTAAGTAGATTAGAGCCTCATTGTCTCTGCTATTCATCATGAGTGTCCTTCAGTTCCATAAAATGCTATTTTAACCACATTTGTTGGTATTAATCAGTATTTTCTTGTCATGTTAAGTAGATTAAAGTCAAATTGTCTCTGCTATACAATTCTAACTTAATATCTAGTTCATAAAAGTCTTTATATCTGCTCCAGAAATCCTCCCAGGGACAGGAAGTTCGGTTGCATGCGTTTTTTTGGGGGTTAGGGTAGTCGTAGTAAGGGGTCAGAAGGAAGTGACGTCGATAATACATCTCGTTATTTCATTTAAAAAGTCATAAATTATAAGTTTTTTTACATTTGATTTCACAGGATATCATGTTTTGTTATGAAATCCACTGAAATCAATCAATTCCCAAGTGCTGTCCTGTTATTTCCATCCAACATTTTTACCAAATAAAATGTTTCCATACACCAATCCAAACTGCAGTTCAACCTGTTTCCTTTAGGACCATAACAAAAATGCAATTTTCTTAAAAAAACGGATAAATCTTGCTTTTTAAATAATGAAAAAGCATTAAAAACAGACAAAAAATCAGAAAAATCAGCTCCGATAAAAAATATGATATAAAAATGTTAGGCAAATTAAAACATTTTTTTTTATTAGATGAGAAAACAGACAGGAAGTGCATTTGTCGAAAAAAAAAGGGTCATTTTTTCTGAAATGGTACCTGGTCCTCCGGGTCTTCCGGGGTATCCGGGGTCTCCGATCTCACCGGGTATGGAGCACGGTAAAACTGTGCCTGGTAGCAGTCACACAAGTTAGCACACACACTTTAAATACTTTAACAAACAGTGAACAATAGAAAACATACATGCCCACTTGTTTTTTTAATATAAGAGATAACTATTCGTCTAATAAATCTGCACATATTTAGCAAAAATGAGAATTCTTTAAACATAATATTTCTATAGCTCTTATTGTTATTTAAACAGAATACTCTCATGAATGTGTGTCGCAGCGTTGATTGTCTGTCGCCTCCATTCACGACTTTCATTTCGGTTAATCTGAGTTGAATTATGGGAATTATTGTTGTTGTTATTATTATGTGTGTTGAATGTTGTTAGTGGCAAATTTCATCGCAATGAAGTTCAAAGATGATGACTGAAAAGTTCAATTCAATCTGGTGTTGAGGAATCAGGTTTATGATTTCTTTATATACCCCATCCCACCCCCAAAATAACCCCAAAACTCAGGTTATTAAAGCTCTCAGCAGAGGAGGCGGGGCTTGAAAGCATGCGGCAGGTTTCAGCAGCTTTGATTGGACGAAGAGGAGAGTGACATTGCTTGTTTTTAAAGAGTGTTGTTTGTCAAAATAAAAGCTGAAACTCGACCGTCAATCATCACTGACTGCAGAGTCAAGAACAAATGAATGACAGCTGGTTTCAGAACTTCAAAAGACTACATTTCCCACAATCCCTTGCACAATAGTGTAGTCAACAGTTCATCTGAGCCTATGTAGGTTAAACTGTTATATAAAACAGCAATCCTAGACAAGGGACTTTTCTTTATTCTTGCTTTATGGTAAGCAAATATGTGGCAATAATTACTTGAATAAAATTGTCTGAAAAACCCTTAAATATCACTGTTTATTTTCCTCTAAAGTGGTCATTTCCTGTTGGATGTCCAGCATGTGAACATAAGGGATGTTTTTTATGAATCCAGCAGTGGTCGGGGAGTCCGAAACTAAAAATCTAGTCCCGGGTTTTCTCTGGCTGGTGGAGGAAAAAGTTAGTTACCCACCCGTTCCCTCTCCGTCGTCATTAACCCCTGCACAGCTGTTTTCACCTGGACAGATACACATGCACAGGGGAGGTGAGAGAGAGAGAGAGAGAGAGAGAGAGAGAGAGAGAGAGAGAGAGAGAGAGAGAGAGAGAGAGAGAAGATGGCAGCATTTTGCATGCGTCAATAAAGCAAATTAAATCTTATTTTTCATCAAACAGATATTCAGCAAATCAGTTCAATTAATTCAAGGCTCATTCAGTTAAGGCAAAAAAGCATATTGAAATGCCTGCTTCAATAAAAAAAGAAACAGGTTATTCCACCCAATGAGAGGAGAGACTCAGAGTATGGCTCTTATGATCGTCTCTCGGCTCATGTGAGTGACAATAACCTTCATATTAAGAACAAAAATCAATCAGTGCTTTAGCATTAGCGTCACGGTGTGAGAGCTCACATTCACACTGGAGAGGCTGAGGGGTTGTGTCCTTTAGTCTCGGAGAAGAAGATTATTTAGATTTAAAGGAAGCCACTGGTGTCATTTTCTGTCAACTAAAGTCTAGGTTAATTGGCTCTTTATCATAGATGCGGTATATTACTTTAATTTTATGTATTTGTTAGCTTTACAGGCATCTTATATAACCTATCTAGCATTAGATACACCTAGACATACAGGTTTTAAGTCTAAATAATTGATAATTTATTACAAAAAGTGCGTTACTACACTTGATTCCATATATTTGGGTCTAAGTTCTGCCATGTATAAATTTAAATAACTTGAGAAATTATTTAACGTACATAAAAAAGTCAAAAAAGTATTTTACTATTTAACTAAACTATTAACTAGGATTAGATGTTATTAAAAGACTATATACTAAATATAAGACTCTAAATAGGTCTTTTAAAATAAAAAATGTTATAATATATACAAAAATACATATACACACGTTACAGGCTTTAATCTATCTAGCATTACATACACCTAGACATACATTTTTAATTACTAGTTTTAAGTCTAAATTATTTATAACGTATTACAAAAAGGGCGTTAATACATTTTGACTGTGTTGAGTCCATCTATGAGGGCCATATATCAATTTAAATAATTGTACATACATCAAAAAATCATCAACTGATCCCTAAGTGGATGTGTTTCTACTTTACTAAACTATTAACTAGGACCAGATGTTATTAAGAGACTATCTATTAAATATAATAAGACTCTAAATATCTCTTTTAAAATAAAAATTGTGGGTTTTATTAGTTTTGAGAAGCATTGCCTTTGTGCACCAATACAGGATTAATTAGACGTAGAATTAAAAATAAAACCAGTATTTTCCTTCAAAATAAAAAACAAATTCAATAATTAATCACAAATAAATGATAATTTCTCACTTCCTCCGAGACTAAGGAAGCACAGCAGCTTGTTGCAGCATTAAAATCACATCATTGTGCGTCAATGAGTCAAGAAGCTCGTTAATGGTCTCTATTAATCATGGAGACCATTAATCACTGAGTTAAGCAGCAGCCGAGGCGTGAAGGCGGGAAGCTGCTGTCGGGGAAAAAAAGAGTCTAACATGTCGTCTCTTCAGATCCTAGGAATACGTTTTTTTCCCCCGGGAAAATCTCCTCTAATGGTTTTAAAGGGGGTTAGGATGAAGTTGCTATGGTTACTACAGGACATGGAGGATGGATAGTGATCGAAGGGGATGGATTTATGGTCAACCTGTGAGGAGAATAAGGAGTTACATCCACACACACACACACACACACACACACACACACACACACACACACACACACACACACACACACACACACACACACACACACACACACACACACACACTTCCTCTCCTCATTCACTTACCTCGCTGTCCTGGTTGTCCTGGTTGTCCTGGTAGTCCCGGTATTCCCGGATCTCCAGCATCTCCACGGAAACCTGGCGTGCCGACGTATCCTCCGCCGGGTTCTCCAGGTTCTCCGGGACGACCCTTAGCACCCGGGTATCCTGGGAACCCTTTCTCTCCGACTGTGCCGTAACCACCATCACCCTGCAGAGAGAGAGAGAGAGAGAGAGAGAGAGAGAGAGAGAGAGAGAGAGAGAGAGGAGGTTGTTTTAAAAAAATCCTGCAGATAAAACTTTTAGATCAGGGGTGTCAAACTCAAGGACTCCATTTTATGTGGCCCCGCAAGAGCTTGCAAAGAATATAATAAGTTTATTATACGGTTAAATGCCGCTTTACAGAAGCACGTTGCCCATAAACTACATGTCCCACAATGCATCTCATTCTGTGAAATTGAGTTTGACACCCCTGAATTAGATTCATATGTGTAGGAGCCAAAATGCTACTTAGCCTGAGTTTATTATTTGTATTATTATTATTTGTTTACGTCACTTTTATTTGTATTATTATTATTTGTTTACGTCACTTTTATTTGTATTTGTTGAGCACTTCCGGCAATCGTCACATGGGTGTGGTTTGTGTATTTAAAAGGGCCCTCAAGTCCCACCTATTTTCCAAGGCCTTATTTGTTGTTTTGTTTGTCTGACTGTTTGTCTGACTGTCTTTTGTGTTACTCCTGTATATCTGTAAAGCGGCCTTGGGTTCCTTGAAAGGCGCTATATGTAATCTATTATTATTATTATTATTATTATTATTATTACCTGTTACATGGCGGATGACAGAGGCTGAGCTTGCGCTGACATTTTTTCTGTTGACCGTTTTGGTCCCTCTAAGTTATTGTGTGTTTGACTTTGTTTATTAAATATCTTCAACCTATCGGACTTTCTCATTGAAAACACGTCGCAGCGCAAAGTCAAGCTTAGCCTCTCTGCAACTCAAACTTAACGGGGAATTGAGCCGCCACAATATCAATAGTAACGTGTTTAAACACTCACGGGGGGTCCAGGAGTTCCAGGGAATCCGGGAATTCCGTCTCTTCCGGGTTTTCCAGTTTCTCCGTTAGGTCCGCGGGGGCCGATTCCTCCGAGTTCTCCTTTCACTCCTAAACCAAGATCGGGGTAAAAAGACGTTCCTTTCTCCCCCTTACGACCGTAGTTTCCGGGTTCACCAGAACGACCCTGAAACAGGACAGATATCATGTTTGAGAAACATACATTTTGGCTAAATTATGACACACTAAGAAAAGAATACCATTTGATTTTTCAAAAACTTTATTTTCTAGCTAATTTTGCAGAATATATGTCAAAAAATAAAGTTGTATTGTGGCACAAAAGAAGTGCGATGTACACTAGATGTATTGATAAGTATTGTAATGTTAATATAATTATATATAATAAGGCCGGGTTCACCAGAAAGACCCTGAATCACTTTTGTGAAACATATATTTTGGCTAAATGATGGGTCAGCATTCCCCGGTAGAAAAGAAATGGTCCCTGTCGTCGTGTTAGGGAAGATTTTTTTAATTTGCCGGATGAATGGGAGAAGTTACAGTTTTTATTGTTCAGTTTAAAAACAATCAATAGTGTATGAGTATATGTATTGTATGTATATGCATATGTATTACATGCATATACTGTATAGTCATTTAACAATGTTCCTGGTAAATAATATTGAGTATGAGGCTCACTGGCAGTGAATGTAAGGGATTACTTTGGTTGTTGTTGTTTGTTTGTGTTCTTTGTAATAATTGTTCTCTTAGTACAGACCACTGTCTCATTTGTATGCATATATTTTGCTTACTTATGCATTTTTGAAAAGCAATAAAAAGATTTTTGATCTGAAAAACAATCAATCGGAATATTGTATAAAGAAGGCATAAATCATAAATGCATGTACATGGAAAGGGGAAACCCCAAAAAGCACAATAGGGCCTCTTTAAGTAAGATGTCCTGGTAAAAGTGTGATAGATACCAGCTAAAGGAAACCCTGTACTGCTCTCTAGAACACATTATACTCGGAGGATAAAGCCAGTGTTATGACAGCCCTAAAACCAGAGATGGCAAAAGTACACATTCCTTACTCAAGTAGAAGTACAGATACTCGTGTTTAAATATACTCTGGTGAAAGTAGAAGTACTGACTAAAATGTAAGAAGTAGAAAGTACAGGTATTTGTGTTCAAAATGTAAGAAGTCAAAATAAAAAGTCGTCAGAAAAATAAGTAGTGGAGTACTGGTACCAGAACAGTAACAAAGTATTTGTACTCCACTACTTCCCACCTCTGGCTAACATACAAACAATTGAACTTACAGGAGGTCCCTGATTGCCTCCAAAGCCAGGTGTGCCGCCATCTCCCAGCTCCCCCTTTCTTCCGGCGTATCCGGGGTTCCCGCTGGGTCCGGGCGGTCCCTGTAACCCAGGCGTTCCCGACGTCCCCCCCCCGAGGCAGGCGCAGTCTCCGGAATCACCTGCAGGACGGAGGACAGGACGATGGGGTGAGAAGTGGGGAAAAAGACGAATAAAAGAGAGGAACGAGGGATGAGTAATGTGAGGATAAAGGAAATATATTATAAGAGTCTGTTCAATCTGTATCTATTGCAGGACATGACGACACATTTAATCAAACCCTAATCCTTTTACACATGATCAAGTACATCTCTAATATCTTAAAGGATAGCACTCCCTTTTTTTTTAAGGACAGCAGAGGAACAACTTTAAAATAAATAAATATGCACAAGTAAATTAAATGTGAAATATATCTTCAACCTCAAAGAAACACGTTATTAAATAATTTCTAGCAGAGACACAGATTTGATATATATTTCAATCCAGTCAGTGTGTGTGTGTGTGTGTGTGTGTG